CTTCATACTTCTGTATTAACGCCAGAGCCTTGGTCTCTTTTACTTGAAGGTTTCCTTCATGAGTCATTTTCAAGGACTCAAACATGTCAAATGCAGTTTCTCTATTTGTGATCTTTTCATACTCAGTGTGAGATATTGCATTTAACAATATTGTTCTAGCCTTGTGGTGGTTTCTAAACTCCTTCTTTTGGGCTTCTGTCATAGATTTTCTGTCTACTTTCTTGCCATTCCCATCAGTGGGATGAACATACCCATCTATGACCAAGTCCCACAAATCAGCATCATAACCAAGGAAAAAACTTTCAATCTTGTCTTTCCAATAATCAAATTTCTCCCCATAAAACATAGGGGGTTTTGTACTAATTCTGTCTCTTTCTTCATATTTGTTGGATGTTGAAGCATCAGCCATAATAACAACCAAATATATATATCAAAGTTTTTCTCACTGGATCTTTTCTGTCACTGTGAAGTGGTAGCACACACAGAACCGGAGCTCTGATGCCAACTGAAGGTGAGAAAATACTTAGAAGGGGGGTTGAATAAGTATGAAGATAAAACAGAAATAAAAACTCAAGGATTTTTATCCTGGTTCGTTGAACTCAACTACTCCAGTCCACCCTATCTAGAGTGATTTGCCTTTCTCAAACAAGGACTTAATCCACTATTTAATCAACTGATTACAATAGTAAACACTAAGAACAACTGTTCAAAGTCTTCTCAAGAACTACTGATCCTAACTGGATCTTCTTAAGGTTCTTTTACAATCAAAAGTAGTAATAATACAAGTGTTAAAAATGCTTCTAATAAAGCTTTATCACAACTGTGATTTTTCACTTAAGATGAAGAACAATGAAATAATTCAGTAAATGATTTTAAGTTGTATGAGAGCTTTGTAATAAATTCTTTTCAAGTGTTTTCGTCAACTAAAGAAGATGAATGGAGACTTGCTTTTATAGGCACAATGATCCAAGAGCTTTTCACGTTGAGAAGAGTGTACCAAAAAGGTCTGAGCCTTTTTGTCTTCACATCATGTGACCTTTCCTAGAAAAAGAATGCACAGAGAAATCCTTTTTGTCTGTGTTCTTGTGTCCAGCATAAATAAGGAAAGAGTCATTTGGTTATTCCAACAGACATAACTTTGAATTCTTCTTCAACAATTTTCAGCAAGAATCATCAGAGTCTAAATTGGTCAGAGCCTTCTGATGTTCATCAGACTTTGCTGAATCAGAGTCTTTGCAGCAAGTGTACTTTCAGAGTTTTGGGTCAGATCCTCAGTACTGGCAGCGTTAGTACTACCAGAGTCTTCTGAAGTAACTATGCTTGAAACTCTTCATACAGAATACCTCATTGCTTCAGATGCTTCTGGCTTCTGCTTCAGATTCTTCTGGAGCTTCTGTTTCAGATTCTTCTGTAGCTTCTGCTTCAGATTCTTCTGGGAGCAGCGCTCAGAATCTTTTGGAGGCAGTGTTCAGAATCTTCTAAGAGATGCTTCTGACGCTTCAGAGCCTTGCATATTTCTTATGTTCAGATCTCATTTGCTTCTGGAGTAATATTTACTTTAACATCTGCAGCAAACATTCTTAAGCAAATTTTAGTGTATATAATTCTTTAATACAAAATTTCATAATAGTTATCATCAAAACATAGAGATATTATTAAGAACCAATCTGTGTTCTAACAGTAAGAACATTGAAAGATAAAACTTGATTAATAAAATAAGCACTTATGTCATTCAAATAACAAGAACAATATCATTACAAAAGCAATTCAGGGACACCCCCTAGCATTGGGGGGTTTAGCTACTCATAATAATTAGAGAAACTACAATATAAAAATTAGAAATTACAAGATAATAGGGATGCCTTGATCTTCAATTGCGTCTGCACATGAAAACCTTCAGTTCTCCCTTGTGTTCTTGATCTCCCAATTTTTGATCGTAATTTTCTTCTCAAGTCTAAAGTCCTTTTTCCTTCTCAGAACGCATCTAAAATACTCTTAGGTCCAAGCTAACACGGGCCATGTCAGGCGACACGGGCCGTGTTGGCTCCCCGGTCCTTAACAAACAAAAGCAAATTTGTCCAGACTTGCTGACACGGGCGGTGTCAGGTGACACGGGCACCCGTGTCAGCCCTTTGTCCAACAGACAAACATCATCTTTTAGGCTTCCTCCTGACACGGGTGCCCGTGTTAGGCCACTGTCTTGCTTCTAAAATCTCCTCCGACTTTTCAGAATCTCCATTTTCTTCACCTGAGTCCTTTGGCCTTTTCTGCATGAACCTGAAATCATCAAAACTACACGCAAATGCGTCAAATGCAACAAAATCATGACATAACACTAGAAAACATAAATTTCGAGAAAAACATAAAAAAAAATAGATTTCACTCAAAAACAATAAAAAGACTTAAACAAACATTACTGATCCGTGGATGAAATGTCGAACAAGTGACAAAAACACAATAAAAATTGTGACCGATCATTAATCATTCCAAACATCAACAACATTTTCATGAAACACTATTATTGAGGTAATCTGATTAGAAACATTTTTAAATAGCCAATAATTGATCAAATGATTGCATATTTCCTATTGATTTCAGATTATATCAAGAAGATGAGGAATTTTGATAAAACCATTAATAAAACAAAGTTTTTTCTTTGCACCCAATGCTTTTTGCATTGATCTACTCCAAACAAGATAATTTGATCCTATCAAATTTGGAGTTATTGAGACCAAATTATGACCTTCATTTAGATGAACATATTAAATGAGTTTAATATCAACATGATGAATATTAGAAGCAACATGTGGAGCCATTATGATGAAGGATCGAAAATAAACAAAAGAAAAAAAGAGTTGAATTAATGAGAAAGAACAATGTGTTCTTGATGAATGATTCAAAACTAACAATATGATAAAAGTTGAATCCACAATGTTACCAAAAACCACTAAGAAGTAGTCATCAAAATTCACACAAAAAGAAGAAGAATGATGAATTCGAATTCCTAACTAACATTCCACGATTAATTGATACCATATTATGAACTAATAGCTAAGAAATGTGAAATTATTCATATCATGGAATGCCAATTAAAGTTCTTTATATAAAAAGGATGGTCATTATATTAAGTTATCACGTGTTAGCTTTTATGTTAGCAAATTCTCTAACTAACTCTAACTTCTTTCCCAACTCCTGTAACAAACTTAACCACCATTTACCCTTATTGCTTGGTTCACAAGTAACCTCATTATTTTGTAATAATATGGATACAATTTTACAACAACCTTACCATAATACACAATTCTGCATATTATTTTGATTGTTGGGGTGTACGGAGTTGCAATATTGTTATAGATCAAGATTTTAACAACGTTTCCTCTATTTTTGTGAAATGCATTTTAACTATAATATTTTGCCACTCTATCATCCCGACTAAACCAAACCGAACACCCCACCTCAAGCCTTGATCGCTTAGAGTGCTTTATCCTTTTATCTTATCACCTTAGGTTTGATTTCCTATCATTTTGTATTCATACACAATCCATTAAGGGATATCAATAATTTGCACTAATACTCTAAACGTACTTCTCTGAAATGAAATATAAACAAAAAGAATAATTGTAACGTTAATGTATATTATCTTAATTTTTAAGCAGATACATCAACTTTTCATATACCACTTTTGGTTATATTTCACTCTAGAAGGAGTATCACACAATAACAAATTCCGGTGAATGATTTCAAAAACATAAAATTTTAGATAATATATACTTTTGGTTTCTATTTTGGAAGAGTCTAAAATAATTATAAATATGCAAAATTAATTTTGATGCATTTGATTTCAAATATGGTTATAAAGAGGGATAATTTTACTATTTATCCAAATATTAAATAATAGAAATGTATTACCTTTTATAAAATAATTGTTATAGATTAAGTAGATATTTTGAAATGTATTATCTCTTATAAAATAATTGTTGTATTTCTAAAAATCTATAATGTCTGATTTATCTAATACAAATTTCAATAGTTGTTATTTTTAAACATATTATTCATAATATTATTGTTTATAATTTATCTTCTATATGTATTACTATTTCAATTTAAATTTACTATTATTCTTAAATTTATTCTTTATTCAACTTCCTATTTTTATTACAATCTAAAAATAAATGCGCGTCCAAAATCGTATTTCGCCCTAAAACGTAACACGTGTGAAGGTATATATTTGTTATTAGTTTTATTTTAAAAAGAATATCACATAAAACAAATTCTGGTGAATGATTTAAAAAACATAAAAATTTAAATTATACATATTTCGGTTTCTATTTTGAAAGAGTTTAAAATAATTATAAATATGTAAAATTAATTTTGACACATTTAATTTCTCTCGAGTATGAATTGATCATAAAATTAATTATACATAAGATATAATATATATTGTTTGAGTCTAAATGTAATTTTTCCACTTTCAAATCACTTTTTTCATAAATGAATCAAGACATAATTCATTTTACTTTAAATTCAATTTTAATCATTATCAAATTTATCTAATCAACTCACTCAAAATTAATTTTTATCACTAAAGAACCAAACACGTCTAAATCAATGTTAAATGATAGCAATTATTTGGCTTAGATCCGACGGTTGAGATCAATAATTGCTTGACATAGTTGATGTAGATACTATGTTTTCTAAAACCCTAAAAAACCTAAATGTATTTAAGCTATATTTGAAGAAGCGCATGGGCATAACGGTCATACTAACTATATACAGGAAAATAATCCACAAATTTCCCGGGGAAAATAGAAAATTCCCTGCCATCATTTCTCAAAAAAATGAGAAAAATAAAATCAAAATTTTCTTTTGAAAAAAAAAGACAAAAAAAAAAAAAAAAGATTCTGCCAGATTCATGTTTGTGTGGTTATCACTGAAAGCAAAAAAATCTCTTCGTTTCGTTCACATCAAAATTTCATAGCTTCGAAAATCAGAGTCAAAATATGAGCAATTTGAAAACCCTATGCAAACCTCACACAGTGTTCTCCTTTATCAATTGTAGACACCAATTTCGATTCAAAGCTTCGTTATGGAACCCTAATTCCAAACCCCTTTTGCAATCTCCTTGGTTGTATTCCTCATGGCTTGTTACTTCGGGTTCAAGCAGACCCATGCCACGGTTTCGGCTGAATCAGAAGAGAACTGTGGCAAAGGCAACTAATTGGGATCAACAAAAGACCCCGTATGAAACTCTTGGTAAAGTTTGTTCCTTTTTTAGAAAATTTGTCAAAATTGGTAATTTTCTCAGAAATTTGATAGTATGATTGTAATTTATCTGTTCATGGTTTAGAGACTTGCTATTTGAATGATGGGTCAGGGTGAAAATAAGAAATGGATGCGTTTGGGTTTGTCATTTTGGGGATAATTGTTTTGTTTTGAATGTTTGTTTTTCAATTGTGTATGCTGGAATAACAGAATTGGAAGGAGATGAGGACGACGAGAAGATAAAGGTTGCGTATAGACGACTGGCCAAATTTTATCATCCAGATGGTATGTATATTAATCTTAGCCACTTGTTTTAGTTTTAGTGTCTTATGAAGTTATGAACGCTATTTTTTGACTCCTGATTGTGATTACCTCATTCCATATTTGGCTACGATCTTATGCCAATCTTATGGAGCAGAGATATTGTGTTTTATTCATTTAAGATGAAGCTAAGAATCTGCAACTGCTCTGCAGTTAGCGTTTTGTTTTGAATGTTAGTCTGCTAGAACATGTAAGATCTTTTGTTTGTCTCCGTTAGTGTGTTCCTACAAAAGAAGTTTTGGCGTGCAATTGTTTCTTCAACCGTGTGCCATACAACTTAGTGTTTATTTGGACAGAACAATTTCAGAGTGTTACGTTGCAGTTATCGAGAACGAGAAGCTAACTCTTGGAGCTTCGGAGCCATCATGCATTTTGTACATTCCACCGCATTTTGAAACATACCATTAGTTGTGATACGATTCTTCTGTGATAGTGTTTTTTATTCAAGATGAATATAGAGTCTCATTAAGTAATAATCTCTATTTTACTTTGCTCTTCAAGTCTATGATGGAAGAGGAACACTTGAGGAAGGTGAAACAGCAGAAGCTAGGTTCATCAAGATTCAAGCTGCTTATGAATTGCTTATAGATGCAGAGAGACGAAAACAATATGACATGGATAACCGGGACAACCCTATTAAGGTAATATAGGAACATACTTCTTTGTTTTTACATTGCCTGAGTTTGGAACTTGTTAAATGGGATTTCATGTGAATCGAAATATGCTGTGGTTACTTGTATCAACTATCAAGCCTGAATGACCAAAGTAATGGAAATGCCTTCAAGTATTGCCTTGAAAACTCTTAAATGGATAGTAAATAGTAATGGATGTATTTATTTTCTTCTTGTTCTAATTAGATTAGACCATTTTTATTTGGATTGATGTTTTATATCCTGCAGGCATCTCAAGCATGGACGGAGTGGCTTATGAAAAAACGAAAAGCTTTTAATCAGCGGGGTGATATGGCAATTGCTGCTTGGGCCGAGCAGCAACAGCGCGAGTTGAATGTTCGTGTACGTCAACTTTCTCGCTCAAAGGTATTGTAGCGTGCTTGAATATGTTGTGGTGTGCTTGAATATGTATCCAACCTACGGAGGCTTAAATGATAGTATCAACTTGGTTTTCCACTTCCATTTTTTTCATGAATTCAAAGAATGCAAAGTTCCATTTTTTTTCGCCCCTGCATCTGATTAGAAGTATTTTATGAAATCTCAGGTTGATCCAGAAGAAACAAGGAAGATTTTAGCAAGAGAAAAGAAGGCTTCAGCTGAACATTTCAGCAGTACTCTTAAAAGGCAGACACTTGTACTGAAGAAGAGAGATCTAATGCGAAAAAAGGCCGATGAAGAAATGAAGAAGACTATCAGCCAGCTCTTAGCTGCAGAAGGTCTTGAGCTTGATGACAGTGACGAGGAATCGTAGCGAACCTGAACTGAGTTTCCATTTACCTGTTGTTGATATGCGATCCATTACCATAATGTCTCCCTCCATGGATCTGATTATTCTTTAATTATCAATATACATAAGATATATATGTACATATATTTTGTTACTTTCATACTAAATTGAATGAGAAATTATCTTTTCAGGGAGGGTCATCTGGATTAAAGAACTGAATAATTCAGAATTTTAATTCCAGTTATAATTTCATTAATTATTTTAAACTTCAATTAACAATAATTAGTATTTTATTAATAATGTCATTATCTTCAATTAATTAATAAGAAATAGAATTTTAAAGGCATAACATAAAGAATATACCAATGTTTTAGAAACCGGATCAGATTGAATCGGGGAAATTTGCGATTGAAGGTTCAATTGGTTAAACCTACTATCGAATCGTTTATTAAATGAACTAATAATATGAAATTAAATTTCATAAATGCGTCACACAATTATATGTTCACAACTTAATACGTCACACAATTATATGTTCACAACTTAATAAAATAAATATTTTTAAAATCTATTACAATTTTAATACAACAATATCGATAATATATGTTTTCTACACTTCATTTCAACCATCATTTAAGAACATTCAAACTCAAATTAAAATAATAGAATATAATAACTAAAATAAATTTTAAATAATTAAGAATATCTAAATTAAATAAGATAGAATACTAAAATATAAATAATATAGTATACTTTATTTAAAAAATAAATAAATTTGAGTTGAACTACGACAAATAAGTTTTAATTGAAAACAACAAACAATATTGATTTAGACGGCAATCAATATTGAGTTGGACATCGTGACTATGTTTGAAAGAGACGATATGATGATGATAGAGTGTGGTTGAAAGAAAAACTATAATGGAGTGACAAAATTTAAAAGTTTGCATGGTTGTAAAAAAACACATGGAATTCTTTTTTGTGATTGGAAAATATATGTTAAGTTTTGAGATTAACATATTAAATTTTAAAAAATAAAATAAAAATAATGGTCAATTTAATACATTTTTTGGTTCGAATGGTTTTAGACGGTTCAATCCGATTTTTTTTTTTATTTTACTCCGGTTTTTATCTAATACCAGTTTTGAAAGATTGATCCAACTAGATTAATCTCCGATTTACGATCCAACTGGTTGAATCGGCCAATTCGGTCCGAATTTTAAAACATTGAAATATACTCAAACTTAAAAATAATAATTTTTAAGATAAATAAAAACATGAATTACATTTGCTAAAGCTTAATATTCTTTATTGTCATGTATATTTTACTCGTGGTTCTTATTAGTCAGAGTCAATTAAAAAAAGTCTGATTGGTGTTGACGTGAAAATATGGTTGGTGATGATGTGAAAATAAGATTGTTGAGTGGAAAATAAGTTTGCATAATGTATTTTTGATTAAATGTTGAGTCATAAATCAAATGCCAGAATGTATTTTTAATTAAATATTGAGTCATAAATCAAATCTCACAAAACTATACAGATATAACCTTAGAGAAATCATCTCATTTAAGAATTGGTTGCAAATAACACATTTGAAGAACAATGGTGAGAGGTCATTGACAAATGAAGAAGACAAGTGAAGTATCGCATGAGGAATATAACATAGGAATTAGTTGTTCTCCATTCCTAGTAAGTCTTTATTTTTCACTCATTTATAATTTAGTTTTTTTTTCCTTCTTTAAACGTTGGGTTTTTGTTTGTGTACGATTCATGGAATGTAGGGTTTATTTTGTGGTTTTTTCTAAATGTATGATTGTTGTTCATGTACGGTTCCTAAAATGTAGGGTTTATGTTGAGAATTTCTAAATGGACAAATTTTAGGGTTGTAGAACATAAAGTTTTTCTGAATTAGTCTTGTTCTACTAATTAATGCTTATTGATGTATTTTTTTGTATTAATTAGGATTATGTTGTTATTAGGTCATAAATGAATGAATCTCTTCACGTATTTATTCATCACATAGATTTGTTTGTAGATGATGAATTGTTTAAGTATCAAGGGATTATTTCAGAGCTGAAATGTGATGTTGATAAGTGGATTTTTTTTTTAAATAGTAGGGATAGTTAAAGAGCTGAGATATAAGAAAGTTATAACTATATGGTACAAAGTAAAGTGATGATGATAGTGATTATGTGAGTTTTAATTATGACACTGCATTGGATATAATATTTAAACACTCAAATAATTGTAGTGATGAATTTATGGAAGAGGGTATGGAAAATTTGTTAGATTATGTTCATGATACATATGACATTAAGAAAAAAGCTCAAAGAAAGTGAAACGTAATTGTAAACAAGACAAAGGCTATTAGGAAAAGGTATGCATGTGGAGACATGATAGATGAATTTTTTTTAGAACAATACCACATCATTTATGACTGTAATCATGAAATTATAAGAACAAATTCTGATTTAACAATCAAGGTTAATGTTCATCCAGTTCAAGACACAAAAGTTGATAAAATGCCTCATTTCCATTAATTATACATTTGTTATGCAACATATAATGAGAGTTTCAAGCTTTGAAAACTAGTATTTGACCTCGATGAATGTATTTTAAAAGATCTTTATGGAGGACAAATATTGACAACCATATGAAGAGATCCAAATGATCATATGTTGTCAATAGCTTTTATAGTTGTTGGAGGAAAAACAAAAGACGATTGGGCTTGTATGTTCATGCACGAAATGTCAACTCAGAGGCTTGCCTTGTGTCGCTACTGCAAAAATCGGCGCCGGCTAAACAGAAGAGTCGCCACCGTGCGTTATTTATCCCAACGGAGGGAAAGAGAACGCTCAGAGTAAACCTAACGCAAAACGGGAAAAGGAATGGTCAGCGCAACCAAATCCTGGATTCGGGAGTCGGTTACGCAAGGGGAAGGTATTAACACCCCTCACGTCCGTCGTACTCGACGGGATCCACGCTTGTTTTCTAGTATGGATTGTTATTCTATCTACTCTACAGGTCTGGGGTTAAAAGGAAAGAAAATGACTCGGCAAAGTATCGCACTTTATGCCTACGTATTCCCGTCTGGAACGAGAAATCAGAGTCAACGTAGTTCGCCTACCTACGGGAAAAGAGGGGAAGGTTGCTCGCTAGGATACAGCATCCTATGCCTACGTACTTTCATACAGCATGAAAGGTCAGAGCAAACGTAGTTCGGGCCACGGAAGACACAGATTTGTCCGACTGTTTTTTATCTTTTTGAAAAGAGGTTTCTTCTGATTAAGAGTCCAAGCGGACAAAAATGACACTATGATGTTTGTTTTCAGTCTTTTACGCAAGAAATGTTTTTTATGATGTTTGCAATCTCTGACGCACTAGAGACTGTGATTTGAGAGTGACTACGTCGTATGTCACCCTAAGGGTAACACACTAAGCAATCAGATTACTGAAGAGTGACCCTCCAGCAACCCTCTCTCAAATAGCTTAAGGCTCGTAGCGTACGACATCGACTATCCTTATTACTGTGTTTTGAATTGTTTTGAGATAGAAGAGAAATAAATTCTAAAAAAACCTAGGGTTTCACTACAACAAAAATGACTTTTGGCAACAACTCAAAACCGCAACCTAAAGTGCAATAACCGTAGCCTAAGGATTTAGGGGGCGGTTTATCAGGCGTGGAATAAACGGCTGTTGCCTATTCCTTTAGAGCACGGTTTTTTTATTTTTAACCACGGATTCAAAACACCGCCACGTAAATCATCAAATTCCACGGTTTTAGTTGTAGTTTTAGGCCGCGGTTTTATAGTAACAACACAAAATAACCGTCCCCAAAACATGAATATACAACGGTTATAAAAAAGCAACAAATGAAAACTGTAGCTAGTTTATAATTTCATTTAAAGAACCGCGCCTAAAACATAGGAAAAGTCCACGGTTTTTAATAAGCAACCCTTAAAAAGCGTTGCCTATAATCAAAGCCATATTTAAACCTTTAACCACATAAAAACCTAATATACTCTTCTTCATTTGCATCATATACTAAGCCAGGATTCAAAGCCTTTATTGGGTCAATTTGTCCAGCTCCATACGCAAATTCTGTGTCAGGGTTCTTGTCTGTTTGGCTGCAACATAAGAAACACAAATTTTTTATATTAGTTTAATTAGTTTAAAACATACCAAGTACATTTTGCTCAGCTAAAATGAAATAAAGCTAAATCATGGTATATTATTTTCCCCATAGGTAATTTCTCAATTATTTATAACAAATAATTCATTTAAAAAGACAACTCTATTAAAATATTAATTAAAACTAAGCATGTGCTAAGTTTATTTTTCTTGGTGCACAATATATTGATTAAGGTGAGACACTACTCATTTCTACTACCTGTCGTCATTAGAGCTGAGCGTATAGCGGCAGGTGACCATGTAGGATGAAAGGATTTTATATATGCTGCTGCACCAGAAACGTGGGGACACGACATTGATGTTCCAAACACAATATTGAATTCCAATTTTCTTTATCACCATGAAGTTCAGAAATTAGAGCAATCGGAGACCAACTGGCTAAAATGTCTACTCCAGGAGCAACTAAATCAGGCTACAACATTATACAAAAAATAGTTAACAACAAATATTATTAAAATGAAAGAATGTATTTATCATATTATTTCATTAAGATGAACCTTTAGAATCTCAGGTGTAGCATTATTAGGACCCCTTGACGAGAAAGAGGCGACCATAGGTGCCAAAGTATCATTTGCCTCATACGTTCTAAATATAGTTGCTACCGGATTCCTACATATTGATTAATACAATAAACTCTAGATAAGTGTGCTTCTCTAAATTATTAAGTGTATAATATATAATTTGCAATTGATACCTGGTAGAGTGTATATACTGATGTACTTTGGCGACATCCTTTGAATGAAGGTGACATCCAGGCAAGGGATAAGAATATGCGGTATCGATAGATTTTTGACCTTGTACCAAAACACCCACAACACCAACTCTATAGGCTT